TGAAATACTTTTGTGAATGCTTTTACAAAATCATAATGGCTTGAAATAATTTCATCCCCTCTCCTTGCTCTCCTCTGAAATTCCATTCAAATACATAAAACTAGAGCTTGTTAAAATATACAATCAGCCAGAATGCTGTGATAAACTCCAATGTCATTACAAAGCATTGCAGCAGCAACACAACAGTTCTACTGGAGCAGGGAGTTCCATTATAAGCTCCTATTTTTGGTGGCTTATTATAAAACTTTCCCACAACAAAATTACTTTGGAGCCAAAATGTATCATGCCTAGTGGCAGTCTGAAGGGGATTTTTTTTTATGTTACCCAAGTGAGAACACAGGCTTTTTTCATACTTTAAGCAGCTTTTTCAGATACCTTTTTGCACTCCAGTAATTCAAAACCAGTTCGGATTTAAGCAGTCTAATATGGTGCATTAGTAGAATTCAGTAATAAGTAGTGCCAATTTGGGAAGGAGCTGGCCAGACTAAAGATTTGCATGCCGGTGCCTAAAAAGCTAATATTACATTTATACAAATATGTTGTGTGAAGGGTGTATGCTGTTTTCACTTGTTAGCAAAATTGGTCTTCTCTGAACCTATCATCACACCTGGCCCATTATTCCACTCTGGCAAAATGTTTGGGCACTTGACTAATTACTTTCAGGAAGGCATCATAAGGGGTCATGCAGTTCAAGCAGCTTTTCTCAAGGCCTCTGATGCTTTCAGTTTGAAATTTCTCATGCAAAAAAAGGTGAAGGACCCCAGACCTGAAATCATCTCAGAGAGAAACTGAGATTTGAGAAAAATTAAATGCAAGAGGCTCAGCAAAAAAAGTCTAAAGATCCATCAACCTCATTTGTAGATAACAGATGAGAGCAGCAGTGACTACTGATACCATAAATAATTCTGTATAGGTGCTGACCCACATAGTCATCCACCCAGTCTGGTCAGAAAGTGGGAATTTCCCTATCCCTCATGAAAAATAAATTGTCAAATATTTCAATGGAAAAAAAATTACCATTTTGATATTTTTTTCTGACATTTTATATTTAAAGCTGAAAGAATGGGCTTGTCATGGCATGGGGTCCCCAGGGATGGCCATGATGACCCTAGGGCTCTGTGACAGTGCCTTTTCTGCCCTGCGGGCGCTTTGTAATCTCACGTGCCATATCTTGTTGGTTGAAATCATGAGTTGGGAGGCTGCCCACTAGTTTATGTGGTCACAGTCCGGGTGAAACCCACTAGATCCTGCTGATCTTGGATCCCTTCTCAGGTCTCACTCAAAGTCGGTGACTTGTGGGACACCCAAAACCTTATGGGCTAGATGCGTGGCTCCAAAACCTTTCCTTTACCACACCCTATGCTTTGCAGGTGGCAATTAAACACTGTCCCTTTCCATGAGGCTTTTATCTAGTTTGGCTTCCTGTTGCTGCACCCTCTCTGGTGCTGGGGTCTCCACACTGTAGTGTGCCCCAATGAGGCCTCCTCCTCCCCAGTAGCCTCAGTCCGGTCCACTGGTTTAAATAACAACAGAAAGCACAAGCCTCTGGGCTACAACACAACAATAACATAGCGTCCACACTCTATCCCTTTTAAGAAGACAAGCTCCTCGCTCAGTTTTATGGGCCTCTTCCCCACCTGCACTTATGAGTGTCTATAGCATCTTAATTCTACTAGAAGCAGAACAGGCAGTCGGGCACCTCCAAGTAGCTTCTTCTATGAGCTCCTTCCCCCTTGTCTGCTGCTAGAGAACTAATTCTCTAGTCCCAGCCCCAGGCCTAGGGCCCTGCCTTCTTCGACTCAGCTGACCGGGTGCAGGTGCAGGCTAATTCTCTTATTAGCCTGCTGCCACAGTAACCTGCACCTGTGGGGTTTTTGGGTGGCTGCTAGGGCCCTCTCTCTAGGCAGTTCCGGCCCTTAAAGGAGCAGGTACCTTAGTGCCTTGCTGCAGGGCTACAGCAGTGCATCATGGAAGTTGTACTTTCAGGGTCGCATGTACCTGTTCTCTACAGCCTTCCTGGTCAGATTATAAATCTGCTAGAGTTGCACGGTCTCTTTTCTTACTGAACCACCACAGGACATTTTGGAGTTGGGACATAGTGCATCGTAGGAGATGTAATGACAAGTCTTTCAGATGTTTGATTTTAGAAAAAAATGAAAATTTAAAATTTTCCACAGAAAGTAAAAGGCTTTATGCCTAAAATGTAGTTTACTCAAAAATCCAGATTTTCCATCAAAAACAAATTAGGGAGACGAGCTTTTGACCAATCCTTAAAAATGCACACATCTTGCATGCTCATTCACACAAAACACACATTCATCAGTGCAGTTCAACTGGCAGTTGCAGTGTCCAGTTCCTAATATTAAATGCATTTATATATTTCTATTGCAGTATTTTATACATAGATATTATATTTTGTGTGTGTATGTATGTGTGTAACCCTGGAAAAGATAGATGAAAGAATATTGTCAAAGATAACCCAAGAAGATTTTAGTGTACAAGGTTCTTTATGTTTAAAGGAAATGGAAAAGAAGTATGAGAAATGCATAGTACATGGCAATGAATGTAGTGTGTGTGTGTTGTTGTCCCTTGCAGGCAATGAATGTAGTACAAGAAATAAAAACAGTGAGTATGTGTATTTCCAGAAATAGTATGCAAAGTCTATATACCATTGCAAATATCTAAATCGGATAAACAAAATAAAAGAAATAGCAGCAAACAGGCCTTTGGAGAAAAGTGTCATGAGTACTCTGAGTCCAGTACCTGTTTCTGACCAGGATAATCAGTATGCATTATTTTTCGAAGTAAGTGGGAGTCTCAAGTGATTGGCTTTGGGTCAGCAATCTCAAATGGAAGAAGCGCCTTTGTGCCGGGTTGCACCAAGAGAACAAGGGCCACATAAGCTGGGCAGGCTGATATCAAAAGTACATTGTGAACCATCTCCTCCCCTCACTGGGAATAGCTTTGCTTTGTCTTTATGATGGGCTAACACCCTGACTTTTTCCTGCCCCAGCTAAGTCTAAGGCATATGGCACCCAAGTGAAATTAGGGCAATGACCAAGAGCACATAGCAGAACAGGGTTGAGATGACATAAAAAGAGCAGGTCAGGGTCAATACTGGTGCTTTCCTCATAAAGAAGAGCCAGGAACTGGTACACTATATAATGTAGTGGTTCTATCACAGGGATCCCAGTCAGAAAACAAGGCAAGACAGCCAGATGTCACACCATCTGAGATCAACCAGGTTGGAAGGGATGAACCCATAGCTGGTGTGGAAGAGCCCTATTTCAGGGCATGATAGACATAAAAGTGAGCAAGATCAGAGGCCAGAACTCCCTGAAAGTACCTGGGCCCTGGAGGAGCAGCTGCCTCTCTTTCAGAGGATGGGCAGTTACCAACCCCCCCTCAACAAACAAACAAAAACTGGTGCAAGAAGCTGTCAATTAGCATTTAATGTTAGGTAACACATCTACAAGTTAATAACATGCAAAGGAACAAATGTATCCCCCATTTTAAGGTTATTAATGGATTGAAATGTGATAGAAACTGGACTTCTTGGTATTTGTTTAAATTGCATGGCATCACAATCAATGCTTTTAACATCTTATGTTCCGTAGGTCATCACACTGTCTACATCGGGGTCCATGTGCCTAAGAGCTATAGGAGGAGGAGACGTCATAGAAGAAGACCTGGGCACAAGGAGAAGAGAGAGAGAGAGAAATTCTCTGAGAATTACTCCGACAAATCAGACGTAGAAAATGCCGATGAGACAAGCAGCAGCATCCTTAAACCACTCAGTGAGTCCTGCTCTCTCCTGATGTTCATTGAAACTTGCTGGTTTGTTCTGAGCATTTAGGAAGAAACTGAATTGTTGAAATCGTGTAACCAACATGTTTTGGGGGCTAGGGAGTGTTTGTTGTTTAAATATCTTGTTTGAAATGGATGCCTGCCCAGTGCAAACATTTCATTCATCAGGTGGGGCTCCTGAATTACTGTTGTTCTCTATTAATAAAAGTTATCAAAGCCAGGCTGATGTCACATGCAAGGAATTGCTTTGGCTGACACTTGTCCTGTCTCTTGCACACACATGCCCTATCTCATGGTACAAACATCATCACATATGCAATGGAGCCAGCAAGAAACAGCTGTTTTGCAGTGAGTGATACCAGGTCTGAGGAAGAGACAGACCACCCCTCTTACTCCTGAAGGCCATAAGAAACGTTCCTATTTGGAACTGCAGAACTGTGCACAGTACTGTATGCCTGTCTGCCTTACCAATTAGCTGGTGCTTATTGGTTAGTTCCTTCTGACTATTTGTTTAATTGTCTTAAGGATAAGAGTTTGGTGAACAAAAATGGGAACAAAATGCAAGATTAGTAAGGTTCTCTTATAATAGATTCACTCAGCTGATAGGTCATATCTGCTGGTGCTGGGTCTCTCCTTGTGTGTTGGTGCTGGCAGCATTTAGACCAGATATCAAATATCTGGCCCATATTGCTCCACCATCTGGTCCCAAGTGCTGCCTCTGGGTCTCATGAGACCCATATGGGTACGGTGGGGGCCTGTGGTGTGGGGCTGGTCTGTGGGCTGGATGTGGCTCATGGACCCAGTCCCTTTCCCCCTCTGATTTCCCCAGCATACCTGATCTGCCTGGCTTAGGACTTGTGCTGTGTGTGGAATGGATTGAGGACTGGTTGGAGCAGGTGCTGCCTGCAGCATGGGTACTGGAGGTGTCAGGATGGGTGAAGCGTGTGGTGCAGCCCAGCTGGCGTGGCCACCCTATATAGTGCAGTTGCTGTTGTGGCTGAGCTTCGTGAATCCCAGGCCAGCTGAAGCAGCTGCCAGTTCAGGTATGTTGGAGGAAAGGGAGGGAGTCCATGGGCCTGATGTGGCCCACAGACTGGCTCCATGCCACTCATCCTGTCCATGGGGCCAGATGAGTTTGACACCTCTGATTTAAACAGAGGGGTCCCCTTTATTTGTTTAGTACAGTGAGTAGATGAATGCTCTTGAATCGCTTCGGAGGGGGCAGTCCATAAAACCCGATTCCCCATCTAGGCCTCTCTAGCAGGCTGTTCCCTTGGTTGCAGGTTCATTCTGAATTGTGGCTACTTTACATAAGAGTCTGGGGATATTGGAGAAAGGAAGAGAGAATGGTGATAAGCAAGGGGAAATTGGTGCAACACTGAAGAGATTTGGAGATGTGGGAAGATCCTGAGGTGTTATAGCTCAGATTCTGTGATAAGCAAACCCAGAATGTTGGAATGACACTGAACTACTGTATTTACTTGGTGAGGTTTTTTTCCCCCCCAATCAGCTGGCGGGGGGGGGAAGCTCTTCATCTAACATTGGCATACAAGGAAACCTTATTAAATACATTGTCTATCATCAAACTACTGCAAAAAGCGGTGTATGCTCTGTGAAGGGAAGCAACTTTCAAGTTGATTAAATTTAGCCAACACCGAGTGTGAATATAAAACACATGGTCTATATTTGGCAAACAAGTTGATGAGAACCTTTTGCACGTGTGTATGTCCCTTTAAAAAAGGGGGGGAGGGCAGTTGCTCTCTTAGGAGGGAATGAGCACCAGGCCTAGATGTACTAGAGTACCAGGCTAAACCTTGGAGAGACAAGAGATCCTGCCCTCGTGCCAAAAAATGCTGATGGGAACCTACCACAAGAATAGGTTAGTGCAGCCTATTTGAATAAAATATATGGTACTGTGGTGCGAATTGCACTCAGTCCCCCTCCACACCGGCTCTTTTTAAAGTCATGGTGAGCCACTATATTGAATACATTTTTACTTCTTCACTCCCACAGCTGAGCAGCACCTTTCTTTCTCATTTACAATTATTTCTGTTTCTTCTCCAGCTTTAAATATCTGGCAAACATCATCAAATGGAGCTCCAAAACAGACTGGGTGGATGACTGTGTGTGTCTGCACATTATGCATAACAATTTATGATTTCAGTGGTCACTGTTGTTCTCATCTGCATCAATTCTGGATGACCTAAATTACTATAGGCATGTTTATATTCAAAATCTGTGTTTTCAAATTTCGGTTCACTTCCATGTACTCAGGGAGAGCAGGGTCTGATAGTAAGTGTGTGTGTGTGTGTGTGTGTGTGTGTGTGTGTGTAGCGGGGGAAAGGGTTGTAGGGTGAAAATGCTGGGGTGGGCATAGGGCAGAGGGTGACATCTGGTCCCCTAGATTTATTTTCCCCACTGTAGCAGTGGGAAAGGGACAAATTCAAGGCAGATCTCCAAAAATTAGATTCTGTACCTAGAAAATTATAACAAATTTATACATTCCATATATAGAGTCTAATTATTGCAGGGCGGGGGAGGGGTTGTCTTATAATTAGGGTGAGGTCATGACATACTGAGGACTCATGGCACTAGGGTCCTGAGTGCCATGAGTCCTCAAATAGCTTTGCCATAGGTTGTGAGATGATATCAGCCAATTCTTTCAGCACCTCTTAGGTGTAGCTCATGCAGTCCTGCTGACTTGTAGACATCCAGTCTCTTTAGATGTTCCCCAACAGATCTTTGCCAACTGTGGGAGGGTGATCACCCCTACCTTGATCATCTTGTATCTTGTCAAGCAGGCTAACACCCTTAGCCTGGTGGAATACCGATACAAAGTATTCGTTCAGGAGTTCGGTTTTCTCCTGAGTGCCGGTTATCATCTGACCTCAGCAGTATTTCCTGCCCAACTGCAGGGGGGCTGGACCTGGTGATCTAGTGAGGTCCCTTCCAGCCCCTAACATCTATGAATCTTATATCTGAGTAAATATGGTGAATGAGAACATGCCTCTTGCACTGGAAAAAGGAGAATGACAGGAGTGACACAACCTGCTTGGCTGGTCAAATCAGCACTGTGGAGTTTTCCATTCTGAAGCTCTTTTTGCTTATTTAGTGATAGGAGGTGGAAGACTGGATAATACTGATGGTCTCTGTCATTGACCGAGGCTAGTGCACATGCTTCAGAGGAAAATGAAAAGAAAGCCAAACCCTAAAGTGACTTTGTAGTAAGCCATTATGGGATAACTTTCCCCTGGGAAGCTTTCTCACTAACTACCAATAGTTAGGGGTTGCTTTATGTATTTACACAGGAAGGTTTATACACCTCCAAACACTAGAGCACATGGCAGCAGAGGCTCTTTGTTCTTTTAATATTTATTCTTCTGAATTCTGCTGAGCTCCTGGCCTTATTGATATATTATGGCAGTATGTTCCATAGACTAATGGTGTAGTAGTGAGTGAAAAAGTGTTTCCTTTTACTGGTTGCTACATTTTGAGTTTTGTTGCATTTCCCCCCTCCCCCTTTTGTTTTAATTTTAGGTTCAGAGACAGGGCTAATAGACACCACTCATCTGCTTTCTGTATATATTTTTTGCTATTTAGCATACCTTTATCATGTCCCCTCTCTTATGTAAATGGACCCAATCTTTTCCATCTCTACTCGTCTAAGGCTCCTCATTCTCTCAACCCAAACTAATTGCATCATACCTTAACCGTCCTCCCCCTCAACCCCCTTTGGGTTGACCTATACTCCAAACAGTAATTGTGTGTTCTTGGCCATTTTTTTAGCTTATTTTCTTCTTCCTTTACTTCCCTTTGTTCCAGTTCATTCCAAAGTATATTTAAGTATATTTAAGACCATCAATCCTAGTATAAAAGCTCTTGGTGCATTCCTTTAGAAACTGACCATTTATTTCTACTTAGCTTTCTGTTCCTTAGCTAGTTTCTGATCCAAGCTTATATTATCAGTCTTTGCAGACCTTCGTCAAAGGACTTTTGAACATCTGAATGACTTATACCATTTGGTTATACTTTTATCTAATATTTTATCGACTCATTTAATGACTGCACCAGTTTTTAGAGAAGACCAAATCATCTTTGCCATATAGGAAGAAGCAGCCAAAATCAACAGTAATGACAGGTGTCCTCCACAGTCTGATCCTTATAATGACAACTGTAGTAAAGTTTCCTGGGATAGGATGATTTTCTTTATTTTGGGTGTTGAGAAGCCTTGAATTTGAGTTGTGGATGTTTGTGGTTAGGATCAGTTGGAGGAGATCACTGATGATATTAAGGAGCTCAGTGATTTTGGATAGTAACTCATGGAGTTAAGATAAAGCTGAAATGATTTATTTTTAAATCCAAGACAGTTGTTTGAAAAGGGCAGGTAGCATAAGCTGAAGTACATGTTAGGTCTCAACCATATGGCTTAGAGCAGTGGCTGGCAGCTTTTTGCAAACCATGAACCAGAACACAGGCACAGCTAGAAGCTGCCAGTCCCTAGCACAGTTCCCTACCAGCTGGAAGCTGTGCTGACACTGCTGGGAGGTTGAGGGGGCAAGAAGTGACAGTAGCTCAGATGCAGGTTGCAGATATCTGATCCTGGTGCAGCTCCCCACTAGGTGGAGGTTGTACCTATGCCACAGCCAGGGAGTGGGGGGCTGGGGGAAGTGGCAGTGCCATGGGTGTAGCTCCCAGCTTCATGGATGCAGGAAAAGCCCCTTCTTGTTGCTGCTGTGCTGTGAAAACCACCTGGCCGGTGTTAGAGTGTAGCTGGGAGGGTGGGGGGAAGCAGCCGTGGTGCAGGCACAGCTGGAAATGCTGCCTGGCCCTAATGGAGCTCTCTGCTTCCTGGCTTCAGCACAGGCATGAGCGCAGGCACAGGCAAAGCCCTCCAAATTTGAGGGCTGGATCTGGCCTCTAGGCCACATGTTGCCAACCCTTGGCTAGAGGAGTGGAGACTTTTGAGAAGCAACACTGGAACTGCGGAGTG